GTTTTCATATGCGTTTGGCCAATCAATGTCTACTTATGTCACGATTAGTACCAGTTGTGCTGGTTAGACCCTGCTCCAGAGTAGGAGCTAATTTGGTTCTCGAAAAAGGCAGTCCGGTACTAAAATCGCACCCAGTTCCGGCGGTGCGAAAACGCCAAAAAGTGGGTAGTTCCACAATTAGTTCTGGTACTATGAAAAGGTTCCCGAGGTGCGAAAGGCCCTTATATGGACAAAAAGCATTTTTCAAATCAAAATATCTTCTTTTGTGTTACACAGAAGCAAGTGAGTAATACAGGTTTGGAACAACATGAGGGAGAGTAAATCAAATGAGTGAGTGAAGGAAATGTTTGAGTGAACAATTGTTTTTTTTTTTTTAAGTTTATTTGTACTCTAAAAACTCCAAAATCTAATTTGCAATCATGTTCACGTTCAAATGACTCCTAGTACCTAAAGATCACACACAAGTTAGAATGTGTGTGATGGAGAATGAGATAATCAATGAATGATACTCTCAGTCTGTCACCTCACACTCACAGCATCTAACCATAAACTAACCCTTTAATAAAGCAAAAACATTCATATTTGTTCTGTTACATATGTGACCCTGGACCACAAAACCAGTCTAAATTCTTCCAAATTGAGATTTATACATCATATGAAAGCTGAATAAATAAGCTTTCCATTGATGTATGGTTTGTTAGGATAGGACAATATTTGGCTGAGATATAACTATTTGAAAATCTGGAATCTGAGGGTGCAAAAAAAATCTAAATATTGAGAAAATCGCCTTTAAAGTTGTCCAAATGAAGTCCTTAGCAATGCATATTGCTAATCAAAACTGAAGTTTTAATATATTTACAGTAGGAAATGTACAAAATATCTTCATGGAATATGATCTTTACTTAATATCGTAATGATTTTTGGCATAAAAGAAAAATCAATAATTTTGACCCATACAATGTATTGTTGCTACAAATATACCCCAGCGACTTAAGACTGGTTTTGTGCTCCAGGGTCACATATAATAAATAAAACCTCTAAAATACTGAAATTATAGGGATAGTTTACCCAAATTCACTCATATCATTCCAAACTCATAAGACTTTGGTAAAACTTCAAAACACAAATTAAGATATTTGTAATGAAGCCTGAGAGATTTCTGTCCCTCCAATGAAAGTCCATGTAACCAAAACTTAAAAGATCCAAAAAGTCATAAAAATATCTTAATTTGTGTTTCGTTTTATGGGTTTGGAATGACATGGAGGAGAGTAAATGATAACAGACTTTTCATTTTTGGGTGAACTATTCCTTTCAGACCACCATCTGTTATTGAAACACACTTTTATGACGTGTATTGTGTCATATTTCATGCGCGGCTGATGAGATGGCATGTGCATATAAAACATGAGGACATGTCACTCACTCTCTCTGTTCTCATCGCTGTTCCTCTCGACTCTGCTGCTGTCACACTTCGTGCCCAGAAACACGCTGGCAGACTTATTCTTCTGCGTGTAGAACGTAAGGACTTCCTCCAAGTCATTTTCACTGGAAGAACAAGCAAAATGACCACTGAAAAACATGGCTATTGCATTCGTCCTAGTAAAGCAATGCGCTCTAGATGCATCACACCGACCTCGCCTCCAGAATAAACTCCTGGAAAACATTGGAGTTGATGCAGCGATCCTCATCTGGAATCTTGTCCAAACTCTCCACCATTTGCTTGGTTTCCTGAGGGTTATTACACAAAGTTGCCTTAAAGAGGTCATGCATTGAATTTCTTTTCTTTTATAATGATCCATGAGGTCCACTTATAATGTTACAAACACTGTCATAATTAACTAACTTAAGACTAACTTACCGATGACTTAGAACACCTAAGCAATCATTTAGCAGCACCCTAGCAACCATCCAAAACACCGTAGCAACCAGACAGCAAACTACTCAAGGTTTATATAACTATCAAGCCTCTGCCAAAATGCCAGAGCAAACGGCACAGGACCTATAAAAGCTTCAAACGTACCTTCAAACTATTTCAGCTTTGGTCAAGCCAGCACACTCAAAGTCTGCTGTTTGCTAGTTTTCACTTGTTACTTGATTTTATTCATTATCGGCCTGCCGATCCACAAACCTGGTTATAGAGCTGTATGAAGTTCCCGAGCTGATGGGAGAGGATGCGCTGGCGGTCTGACAGACACAGCTGACGGCTGGGCTCCTCCAGACACATGTCCTGACGCAGGTTACTGCTGGCTCTCTTCAGAAAGCGGACGACCAGCTCCTGCAGAATCACACGGTCAACAGCACCCATCCCACACTGTCTTTAGCACTCACATTAATAAAGTAGCTATAAAATAGACATATTAGACCAGTATCAAAGGTGCACAGATGTTCAACGTTTCTGTAACACCACAACAAACATCAAATAAATCATGTTTGCTACAGATGAAAAGCCATCATTTACATGTTGCTAGCTTGCTTTGATATACAACTGTGTGCTGCTATTATGAAGCACACATTTACACTTATGCATTTAGCAGAAGCTTTAGACAAAAGCGACTTACAAAAGACTTACAAATGTGCATCATGGGGTTGTTTTAGATAAGCTGGTAAAGATGTGGGCTAGTAAACATGAAGGTTCCCCATCACCACTGTTCCTCTGAACAAGATACCTTCATAAGGCGCGTGTGCTGTTTCTTAATTGTTGGTTGTACATATGTGCCAGATAATGTATATCAAATGCCAAAAATCACACACACACACACACACACACACACACACACAAAAAAAACTAACAAAGAGTAGTAAACATTAATGTAACATTAATACTTTGCACACATTAAAACATAAATAAATAAAAAATTAGAATATATTTTAAAAACGGCATACTACTCTTTTTTTTTTTTTTTTTTTTACAAATATTAAAAACATTATTGTTTATTTATTAATGATTTGTAACATTTTTAGACTATATAACATTTTATCATTTTGAATGAAAGAAGTGTGAAAAAGCACTTTTTCCTCAGTAGCCAGTAGGGCTGTGCGATTAATCGAAATCGAATCGCAATCGCGATTTGAGACGTTGCGATTTGCTAATCGCAAAGCCTGCGATGTGGACGCGATATTAAGGCGGGCGTACACGGTGCGATTCTGAAGGTCGGAACGTTGTGAGCTCTGGCACATGTCACGATTGAGTTTATCTGAAAATCGTACGGAGGCAGTCACACACGACACGAATTTACTACGATTTTACAAACTCTGACGTAAGCATTACGTTTCGCGCCATTCATAAAAATATGGATTCTAAGGACGAAATAGTTTTCTTTGTGGCTAATTCTTCTCACACGGTACGAGCCGCGACCATGCGAGCATCTGCGATATTCTCCCGAGAGAAAAAAATCGCCTGCGAGCTCGTACGACTGCAAAAATCGCACCATGTACGGCCGCCTTTACTCTGTTCCAGAGCATATGCATGACTGCCAGCCTTGAGTTGCAGTCTTACTAACTGTATAATTAAACTAAAATTATTATTGACTATATGGTTTTTGTCATCTTCTGATTGGTCAGAACTTCAGATGGATAGCCAAATCGTCTCGTGCAACCGCACATACGCCACGAATTTAAATCGACAGCATCCGATTTTTTTTGACATGTTTGAAAATTATCGGGAGGACGGGAGGTGCTCGTAACGTCTCAGATCGGCCTGTAATTCTTCTCACACGGTACGAGCCGCGACCATGCGAGCATCTGCGATATTCTCCCGAGAGAAAAAAATCGCCTGCGAGCTCGTACGACTGCAAAAATCGCACCATGTACGGCCGCCTTTACTCTGTTCCAGAGCATATGCATGACTGCCAGCCTTGAGTTGCAGTCTTACTAACCAATAGAGTGAGCGCACCTCCGTTCTCCCCAATCAGCACTGCTCTAGCCAACTGCGTAAACACCCACCATTATAATAAAAAAAAATAAAAAAACACGGAAAGCGGGACGGGAGAGAGACAGAGTGGGATTATGGCGTCTACTGGGTTAGATCGATAGTTAGGCAAATTAAAACTAAAGAAAACTGTATGCAACTTAAGTTTCGAAATGACAGACAACGAACAAAAAAAGGTCATTTGCAAGAGCAAATTCAAAGCAAAGAGCTCCCTTATCGGTTCTGTTTTCAGTACTGGAGAATAAAAGATACATTCTTAGTTGTTTTTGTTAGTACGTGAACGTTATCTTACACATTTTATCTCCCCAACAGATTAATTTGAAATAAGTTTATAATGCATGTTGGCTATTCCCAATTCAGAAGAGCGCACACACAGCCTGTGTCTCTGAATGCTTCTCATACTCGCTCCTCTCTGCCCCACGCGGCGCGAACCCCGCGTCACGGACGAGCCGTTCATGCTTGCCGCACTCACGCAGCCCATCTCGTAATGCTCGTTTATACTCGCACCCGGCTCCGCACCGCAAGTCTTCACGAGCGCATCTGGCAGTATGGATGAGGCTTGACGCAAATTTTGTAATGGTTTAATGGAAACTATAAGAATTTCTGTGATGGTTTCTATTGTTTTTTTTTCAGCAGGGTAATGATACCCATACTGTGCTCCACATTATTGACAATATTGAGCTGAAGCTTGACATTGCAAATTTAAAATCGCAAATCAAATCGCAATCTCTGTCAAAAAAATCGCAATTCGATATTTTCCCCCAAATCGCACAGCCCTAGTAGCCAGTAGCCAGTAGCCAAGACCCAAAATCATGGATTCATGCATGTTTAGTGAATATGCATGAACTGCTACAAATGTATGCTTTTAATGCATTTAAAATAAAAAAAAAGCATCTGTAAAATGCATACATGTAAGTGTAAATACCCTTGGAGGATACTTGAGAAACTGATATAAAAAATGCATTATTTTATTTTGGGTCTGAGCAGCTGCGTTTAACCATGAAATGTCATAATCATAAAAATCATAACTGAGAGAAAATTCATATGCACATTCCACAACATATCAAAGTGTTGGCATTTCCAAAAACCCAAAAATCAATGCGAGTCAAATTGACCCACAACATTAAATGATGTCATTTTGAGACTTATTTTCGTCAGATACTACGTGTAGTAGATATTTCAATAAAACCAGACATGGTTTACCATCTGATCGTGCTCCTTCTGTGTCCAGGCCGGGCCCATGTTGGCTCTGCTCTCGGCCAGCAGGCGCAGCTGCACACGGTGCAGGTAAGAGGAGAAGGCCATGCGTGCTTGAACTTTACTGCAGGAGGGAGGCACGAGAACAAAAAGCCATGAAATAAGAGAGCAGAAAAGAGCAGAAGAAACTAAGAGGGTGCAAAATACAACCTATTTCCAGTTTAATATGCAGAGGCAACTAGAATTAAGCCCTTTGTAGGTTGATTCCTTTGAGAACATAAACACAGTGATGCTGTTTGACCAGTATCAGATTAGGGGAGTGTTCAGGAAACGCTTCATTATTTTTAGTTATTTCTGTTACAAAGCTGAAATTACACGCTTCAGCTTTAATGTCTCCATCTTGTAAACCTGCTTCATGTTGTTTGGCTCCACTTTGAAGACTTTAGTGTAAATTACAGCATTCTGGGAAATTAAGTGTTTATTCACTTACAGTTAAATTGATTAATAAATTTATGCCAACATGTTTATAGGTCAGTCATAAATGAAAAAAAAACAACAACTTAGAACTACACTTAAAGCAGTTATATAAATGTATTTGTAGGAATTAATTGCAGTGAAATTTCATCCTTCAAAGATTTTTGGCTGAAAACACAATAAAACACCATTTTATATTATACACAATAAAACATTTTTGCTCTGTAAAGATTGTGTTTGTATGACATAAGCCGTTATGTAATCATAATCTGTATATATACTACTGTTTAAAACAAAAGTTTTGGATCGGTAAGATTTAAAAAATAATAATAATAAAGTATAATGTATATTAAAGTATATTAAAATAGAAAAATGTTCTTTTAAATGGTAATAATATTTCACAATATTACTGTTTTACTGTATTTTTGATTTAAAAAATGCGGCCTTGATGAGCACAAGAGACTTCTTTAAAAAAATAAATAAAACATTTAAAAACTTACTGATCCCAAACTTTTGAACGGTAGTGTAAGCATGTGCCAAAAATAAGTATTACACTGATCAACACTGTCATATTCATAACACACTTGACAAAACATTGTCGGAGCTTATATGTTATTTAGGTGTAATCAGAAATATGCATCATAATTCAAATCAGTAATCCAAACAAAAAAATTGGCTCTGTACTTGTACTCTGCACAATGACAATAAAGTTAAATCTAATCTAATCTAATCAAAGGTTTAACTTTTAGGCAGTGGGCACCAAGAATTTTAATTTTGGTGCATCACTGTTTCATTCCATTTTAAATCTACTTCCTTAAATTTCTTAAAATCCTTAAAAACGTCTTGGTTACGTATGGTAACCCTCGTTCCCTGATGGAGAGAATGGAGACGTTGTGTCGAGTGTACGACACTAGGGGTCGCTCTTGGGAGCCCAAACACCTCTGACATCTTTGAGAAAAGGCCAATGAAATTGGGTGTGCAGAATTTGCATAGCTGGCCACGCCCCGGACATCCGGGTATAAAT